TGTAGAGCAATACTTCAAGTTCATTGCAAATTACACACAGGAGAGAAACCTTATATTTGTGAGAAATGTGGGAGGGCCTTTATTCACGATTTCCAGCTTCAGAAACATCAGAGAATTCATACTGGGGAGAAGCCATTCAAATGTGAAATATGTGGTAAGAGCTTCTGTCTTAGGTCAAGTCTTAATAGGCATTGCATGGTCCACACAGCAGAGAAACTGTACAAATCTGAGGAGTGTGGAAAAGCCTTCATTGATAGGCTAGATTTGCATAAGCATCAGATGATTCACACAGGAGAGAAACCATACAATTGTAAAGAATGTGGGAAGAGTTTCAGATGGTCCTCATATCTTTTGATTCATCAGCGAATCCACAGTGGAGAAAAACCATACAGATGTGAGGAGTGTGGGAAGGGCTACATTAGTAAGTCAGGTCTTAACTTGCACCAGAGGGTCCACACTGGAGAGAGACCTTATAATTGTAAGGAATGTGGGAAGAGCTTTAGCCGGGCTTCAAGTATTTTGAATCATAAGAAACTCCACTGCCGGAAAAAACCCTTCAAATGTGAGGATTGTGGAAAGAGGCTTGTACACCGGTCATACTGTAAAGACCAACAAGGAGACCACAATGGAGAAAACCCATCCAAATGTGAGGACTGTGGGAAGCGCTACAAGAGGCGCTTGAATCTGGATATAATTTTATCATTATTTTTAAACGATATGTAAGTTGTACACATTTATGAGATATGGTATGAAATTTTAATATGTGTATATAATGTGTAATGATCAAATTGATGTAATTAGTGTATTACCTTAAACATTTACCATTTCTTTGGGAAAATTCAAAATCCATTGTTCTAGCGATTTGAAAAGAAACAATAAATTATTGTTGATTATAGTCACCTTTGGTGCTTTAGAACACTAGAATGTATTTCTCCTATCTAGCTGTACTTATGTATCGTGTTACCCAATCTTTGGCTATCTCACCTAACCCCTACACTTCCCTGCTTCTAGAACTACTGTTTTACTCACTACTTCTATGAAATCAACTTTTTTAGCTTCCATATGTGTGTGAGGACAGTTGGTATTTATCTTACTTTGCTTAGCTTATATTGTTTAACATAATGTCCTCCAAAGCTCATCTGTGTTGCCATAAATGACACAATTTTGTTTTTTTTTAATGCCCAAAGTGTATTCTATTGTGTATATATGCCACCTTTTCTTCATTTATCTATTGATGGACACACAGGTGGGTTCCATATCTTAACTGTTGTGAAGAATAGTGCTCCAATGAACATGGGAGTGTACATATGTGTTCCACATACTGATTTCCTTTGCTTTGGATATACTCAATAGTGGGATTGCTAGATCACTCAAATCTTATGCCTCAGGGGCTTGACATAAGAGCAAAACTATGGAAGTGTGACTAGGGTGGTATGGCCTCATACCACCTCAGGCCTCAAGTCCTCAACTGCACCAGAATGTCCAAGTTGGACAGAATCCTTAGTAATAAGGTGTGTGATAAAGTCTCTGCTCAGTTGTCTATAATCTCATCTGAGAGTTCACAAAGGAGCAAAACATTAAAAAGCAGCATATGTAAGCACTTCAGTGTATGTTTATGTCATAATTTATCACAGGCCATAATGGTGATATATTTCATCCAGTCTTGCAGGAGAGAAAACATTTAAGTTAAATTCAGTGTTTCACCATAGCTCAGCATACTCCCATCATCCTGGGACCATCGTAGTAGAGAACTCTTGTAAATTGTGCAGTAGGGTTGCAAACAGAACTTTGACATTTACACTTGTCATTCAGGAGAAAGGCCTTAGAATAAGCGTTTGTTCACACATTTACAAAACCCTAATGATGAACATGTCAAAATCGATGACCACTAGAATGTCAACTACAGGTACCTTGTTTTCTGCATCTTCAGGACCTTAACACTGATTAGCACTTACGTGTTTAGTATGTGTTAAATGACTCACAAGGAGAAAATACAATATTTTAAAATTATATCTAGGAGAGGAAATCTACAAAAAATAATTCAGAGACACCTGAGTTAAAATGCAGAATATACTCAGTACTGCAATCCAAAGCATTATTTTGGGTAATATTACCCTATCACGCTTGGCTGCTGGCTTCCCCTCATCCTCTGTTCTGAAGTTGGATTTTTACTACTCGTGGCTTTGTCTAATGTTCCATTGGTTGCATACAATATAAATTCAACAATCATTTGTAATTCTTCTCACACTACAGGCTGAAAATGGTTCGTTAACTTGGCAATAACAGTCCACTGCATATTTCACAATTACATTTTTTCAACAGTGTTAAGGCAAAATTTATAGTAATTTTACGTGGCAGATGTAGTTACATTGGAAAAAACTTCCTCAGTTCTGAATTCACATGATTTCTTGTGTATTTTCATGCAGGCTTTGATATGATGGCCTTCTAATTGTGGTAGCATTTATTTTATCAAACAATTCAGGTAGAAGCTATGCCAATTTGACAATTTTTGGAAAACTAACCTAATATTCTCTTCCCATCTCTATGAAATACTAAGAGAAACCTATGAGAGTTCGGTAATTTCATCAAATGTATCCATGATTGGGGTAGGAGTGACATTTACATGCTCTTCTTTATTGTTGGCAGTAAAAATAAGTCTTTTGTAAGCAGGGTATATCAGAATGTATAAGGTACAAGTGTTTTACCTGGAAATGATGGGATAGGAAATTATCATTATGATGTTAAAACTGTGAAAAGTAGAAAACCACGTGGATGATATCACCCCATTTTAAAATGGAATAAGTATTCTACAAGAATTTATGTGAAAAGCATTTATTCCTATAACATGAGACCAATAAAATGATAGCACCAGACATACAGTAAAAGGAGAAAAACATAATGTGAGCTTTGTGAAATCAGACTGTAACCTTCATAACATAATCAAATATCTTTATGTGTTTCTGAGACTTTTTAATGTGTATATACGTAATTTGTGAACAAATATTCTTTCCTCTGACAATGAATATTTGCTGCTGGTATTTTTCCATTTTATAATTTTATGCATTTTTAGATATCTCAGTGAACATCAGTTTTATCAAAGCAGTAAATTTTGTTCAATACATTTGCAAACTTATTAATGTTAATCACTTAACCTATCAGGACTCAGAATCTCAGAATAAAATTGCTCTATATTGTCATATGATGTAGTTCACAATGACTAGGGTCCCGGAAGTAATTTCAAAATGAAATATTCTCTAGTTGAGCCAGGCGCAGTGGCTCACGCCTGTAATTCCAGCACTTTGAGAGGCTGAGGCTGGCGGATCATGAGGTCAGGAGATCGAGACCATTCTGACTAACACAGTGAAATCCCATCTCTACTAAAAATACAAAAAATTAGCCAGGTGTGGTGGTGGGAGCCTGTAGTCCCAGCTACTCGGGAGGCTGAGGCAGAAGAATGGTGTGAACCCAGGAGGTGGAGCTTGCAGTGAGCTGAGATCATGCCACCGCACTTCAGCCTGGGCAACAGAGCTAGACTCCATCTCAAAAAGAAAAAAAGAAAGAAAAGAAATATTCTCTGGTTCTTCGAATATGCAGATAAATTGATGAAGTCTGGTTAACTGTCTTGGTAATTAATCTTTAGGGATAAGTCAGGGAGTGTGCAAATACTGGAGATCCTGCCCAGTGCCCAGGCACAGCTGATTTATCAAGACAGAGAATTCACAATAGAGAAAGAATTTAATACACAGAACTGGCTAAATGGGAGACAGGGTTTTATTATTACTCAAATCAGCCTCCTTGAAAATTTGGAGGCTAAGGTTTTTCAAAGATAGTTTGACAGGCAGGGGGCTAGGGAATGGGTGCTGCTGATTGGCTGGGGATGTTAAAAATGGTCCTTGGGCACTAAGTCCACTTTTGGATGGGGGCCACAGGACCAGTTGAGTCAAGAATCATGGGTTTAGGTGGGGCCATCCGGTTGTCAGAAATGCAGAAGCCCGAAAAGACATCTCAGAAGGCCCGTCTTAGTTCTACAATAGTGATGTTATTTACCGGAGTAATTGGGGAAGTTGCAAATTTTGAGACCTCTGGAATAACAGCTGGAAATCAGAATAATGGCTGGTAATCCTTTACACATATTATCTTAGAATTCAGGCCCCTCTCATCCTCCTAAACTAGTGGGGCCTTTCAATCGTATTACAAAGGCAGTTTAGTTTGGGGGAAGGGCTATTATCATTTAAACAATAAACTAAATTCCTCCCAAAGTTAGCTTGGCCCATGCCCAGGAATTACCAAGAGCAGTTTGGTGGTTAAAAGCAAGATGGAATTGGTTAGATGAGATCTCTTGCACTGTCATAATTTTCTCACTGTCAAAATTTTTACAAAGGTGATTTCAGAGATTGAAATAGATATACGTATGTTGTGAAGGTTGTTTGTTTTTTGTCTTTTAAAGCAACAGATCCTCACCTGAGGTCAGGAGTTCGAAACCAGCCTGGCCAACATGGTGAAACCCTGTCTCTACTAAAAATACAAAATTAACTGAGTGTGGTGGCACATGCCTGTAATCCCAGCTACTCAGGAGACTGAGGTGGGAGGATCACTTGAAACCAGGAGGCAGGGGTTGCAGTGAGCCAAGATCATGCCATTGTACTCCAGCCTGGGTAAAAAAACTCCATCCCAAAAAATTAAAAAAAAAACAAAAAACAAAAAACAAAAAAAACAGATCCTTTGAAAACCAGAGGTGTATGGGCAGGGAACATAGCATGACAGCAGCAGAGCTTCTGTTGCTATGGATCCAGTTAGAATAAAGACCTGGTTTGGATGCCAATTCAGAGTTATACACCATGCTGTTGACAAAAAGAGTCAAACTCTACAAAATATAAAGAGATTTATTCTGAGCCAAATATGAGTGACCAAGGCCCATGACACAGCCATAAAAGGTCCTGAGAACATGTGCCCAAAGTGGTTGGGTTATAGCTTGGTTTTATACATTTTAGGGGGACAGAAGTTACAAGCAAACATCAATCAATACATGTATACATTGATTTGGTCTGGAAAGGCGGGAGAACTCGAAGTTGGCCATGGAGGTGCTTCCAGGTCATAGGTGGATTCAAAAATTTTCTCATTGGCAACTGGTTGAAAGAGTTATCTAAAGTCCTGGAATCAATACAAAAGAGTGTCTGGATTATGATAAGGGGTTCTGGAGACCAAGGTTTTTATTACGCAAATGAAGCCTCCAGGTAGCAAGCTTCAGAGAATAGATGGTAAGTGTCTCTTATCAGGTGGAAAACAGTGCCAGACTCTTTAGTGAATTCTCTTCTAGAGAGAGACCTGGAAAAGGAAGAGGAATGTAGATTTTACAAAATGAATATACTAAGTATGCTAGATTCTAACGAGATTGTTCTGATTTGACAATATTAAAGGGTTTCTTAATAAATTGACTTCCAATCTCATCTTTAATATCTGTAGTACTCTTGTGTACTGAATATTATTTTTTTCATTAAACAGTTTTCTGTAGATTCTGAGGAAAAGATACAAAAAATTTTTGAAAAACTCAAAAGGCAGTTTTCTGCTGATGAAGATCTGTGTGATAATTGATTTTAATGGATTTATAGTGCATAGACTATAGTCCCTAGTTATTTAATCAAGCACTAATATAGACATTGTGATGGTATTTTATAGATATTCAGCCCATAATCAGTTGGTTTGAGTAGGGATATTATGCTAAATACAGGTAGGCCTGATCCATCACTTGAAGATCCTTTAGAATAGAGCTGAAGCTTCTCTGAATGAAAAAATACCACACCTGCTGGTGGCATCTTCCTCTCATGGGTTAGAGTTCCATCTTCACCTTTCTGGTGGCCAGCCATATGCATTTTGGAATTGCTTAGTGATGTGGTTTGACTCTGTGTCTCTACCCAAATCTCATGTTGAATTGTGATCCTGAGTGTTGGAGGTGGGGCCTGGTGGGAGGTGACTGGATCATGGGGGTGGTTTCTAATGATTTAGCATCATCCCCCTAGTGCTGTCTTTTGATGGAATTCTCATGAGATCTGCTTGTTTTAAAAGTGTGTAGCACCTCCTCCTGCTCTCATTCTCTCCTGCTCTGCCATGGTAAGATATGCTGGCTTCCCTTTCACTTTCCATCATGATTGTAAATTTCCTAAGGCCTCGTAGCCACGCTTCCTGTACAGCCTGCAGAACTGTGAGTCAATTAAACCTCTTTTTTTCATAAATTACCCAGTCTCAGGTAGTTTTTTTTTTTTTTTTTTTGAGACGGAGTCTTGCTCTGTTACCCAGGCTAGAGTGCAGTGGTGTGATCTCGGCTCACTGCAACTTTCGCCTCCCAGGTTCAAGCAATTCTCCTGCCTCAGACTCCCGAGTAGCTGGGATTACAGATGTGTGCCACCATGCCCAGCTAATTTTTGTATTCTTTGTAGAGACGAGATTTCACTATGTTGGCCAGGCTGGTCTCAAACTCCTGACCTTAGGTAATCCACCTGCCTTGGCCTCCCAAAGTGCTGGGATTACAGGTGTGAGCCACTGCACCTGGCCAGGTAGTTCTTTATAGCAGTGTGAGAACAGACTAATAGACTTAGCCAGATCCACAGTGCCAAAGGAGAGTTCCTTGCAATAATTGCTTGTATATGTCATACTGATTCTGTTTCTCTGGTTGAATGCTGACCAAAAGACATTTTGCCCCACAAGAACTTCCAGAGGAAGAGCACCCTAAGGATGAGTTTTCTGAATTGATTGTGTTTTCTAGAATTGGATTTCTACTCTTACTAAATTTAAGAGCACTATTGACTTTATTTCCAGTGCAACATAGGGAACTGGTTGTCAAAGGCACGGTGTGATAATATGCCAAATATCATATTGAATAATCCTAATAAAATGCCTATTGGAATGATTCTGGTTACCATGAATTTGTTAGTTTAGGACACAGTAGACAAACTTTTCAGTATAGTATATTTCCTGGATGCTCCTACTGGGGCTTCAGAAATTAGGAAAGAAGGCCAGGCACCGTGGCTCACGCCTGTAATCCCAGCACTTTGGGAGGCCGAGTAGGGCATATCACAAGATCGAGACCATCCTGGCTAACATGGTGAAACCCTGTCTTTACTAAAAATACAAAAAAATTAGCCAGGTGTGGTAGCATGTGCCTGTAGTCCCAGCTACTTGGGTGGCTGAGGCAGGAGAATGGTGTGAACCCAGAAGGCAGAGCTTGCAGTGAGCCAAGATCACGCCACTGCACTCCAGCCTGGGTGACAGAGCGGGACTCCGTCTCAGAAAAAAAAAAAAAAAAGAAGAAGGAAAGAGGAAGATGAAGTCAATCACTTTGCAGGGCTGAACTTCGCCTTGTTCATCATAGTAAATAAATTGATGGGAAATCTATGACACTGTCACTGGGTTTGTATGGGCAGAAGAGTTCTATTGCAGGGGAAGAGAACTCTAACTGCAACCACCTAACATTGTCACAGCTCTCAAATCAATTCCAAGACATGTCCAGTTTACAAATCCACATTCACTTATATAAATGGGAGGCCAATGTTAGATGAGTATGGGCCCTGATACATTTCAGAGTTTTCCACAGGAAACCATGGCCATAAACCTGTGACTGAGTCCATAAAAGGAGAAATAATCACTCTTTTGGGCAATGACTGAATCTTCATTGTCAAATGGCACATTGATACGATGATCAGACATGGTGAGGAGAAAGTAGGAACTACTAGGCATATTAGTAAGACACATGCATGACAGAAAGAAAGAATAAATCCTATAAATATTCATGGGCCTTCCATTTTGGTAAAATTTCCATAGGTTCATTGATGTGGTACTATTGAGATATCCCTTCTAATGTACAGGGCAAGAAGCATATGGTATTCCTACAACCAAAGTGTCACAATGTCTAGGGGCCCTCCTTGGCTACTGGATGCTACTTATTCCTCATTGGGATATGCTACTCTGCCTTTTTTGTCTGACCCCAAAACATTTTGCCTCGACTAAGATACGATAAGACTGTGTAATGTGTCCTAGCTGCCATGTAAGTTTCTCTACCCCTAGGACACTATGGACCAGGATTTCCAAAAGTAATTGAAATATCAGTGATACAGAATGACGTTTGGAGCCATCAACTGGTCACATTTGATGAATCAAACCACAAATGGATGGGATTTTGTAGCAAAGCCCAGTCATCCTCTACGTATACTTACTCTTTTTCTTTTTGGTAGAGACAGGGCCTTGCTTTGTTGCCCAGGCTGGTCTCAAACTCCTGGCATCAAGAGATCCTTATTCTTCAGCATCACAAAGCAATGAGTACAGGTATGAGCCACCAACCCCAGCCTACTTACTCTTCTTTGGAAAAGCAGCTTATGATTTTGCTAGTGGTCTTAGAAGAGACAGAGCACTTAACCATGACCTACCAAATTAGCATGTGTGCCAAGCTTTCCATCATGAATTGGGTGCTGTTGGTCATTCCTTGTCTTTAAATTTTATGCGCACATTGGTATCCCATTTGTAAGTGGTATATATATGATTGGGTTTGAGCAGGCTCTGAAGCCACAGATAAGTGTATCATGACCCCTACTCCTACTACATTACCTTCAGAATGAGTGAACATGAAGACAAGTCCTATGAATTACTGTGTCACAGCAGCAAAAAGAAATGAAGTGATTAAAAGTAAACAAAGCCTAAAGTACCTTATGTGCATTATAGGTGTCCCGGATAGAGAGAAAGAAAGCCAAGAGAGCTTATTTACAGAAATAAAAGCTGAAAACTTCTCAAATAAGAAAAACACATTATTCTGTAAATCCAAGAAGTTCAATGCATTTCAAGTAAGATAAACACAAAGAGACCCAACGGAGGCATATTATTAAAAAATCGTTAGAAACCAAAGACAAATGAAAAATTTGACAGCAGCAAGTCCAAAGTCACTTGTTATGTACAAAGACATCTTTAACGATGTCAGCAGATTTCTCAGCAAACATCTGAGACAAGATTGATATATTCTTTGCTAAAAACACATACACACACATACACACACACACATGTCTATTGAGAATTCAACATTCACCCAAACTGTCCTTCAAACTTGAGAGATAAATCTAGTGAATGGGTAGACAATATGTATAGACATAATATATGACATCAGTTGTACAAAGTGGGGAGAGGGAGAAGCTGTGAATGAGTAGTATTTTGCACGTGATTGAAGTTAAGCTGGTATCCATGGCGACAGAGTGAGACACTGTCTCGAAAAAAAAAAAATTAAAGAAGGCACAAATAAATGGAGATATATCCATTATTAATGGATTGGGCGACTTCATATTGCAAGGATGTCAATATCTATATATATAGATTCAATGCAATCCTTAATCACAGTAACATTTTTCTCAGAAATTAAAAAATCCACCTAAAATTCATGTGAAATATCAACGGATACTCTCCTCTCCCATGGTCGTATCTTAGATCTTGTCATCTTCTAGCAAATATTCCTCCATAATAATTTGCAGCACTACTTTCCAACAACTTTGACTTGTATTTCCACCTCGGTCCCACCAGCATGCTAGCATCAGTAACATTAGAACCTCGCCAATACCTACAGTCCACTGAGATGATTACCTTTTTACTCTTGTAACTCCTCCTCTCCTCACAGCCTGCCAACCACATCTCTTGTCAGGAGAGGACAGCTCACTTCTCCTAATGTCTCACTTCCCAGAATTGTGTCCCATGAAAATTTTTAGCTAGATGAAGGCAGAGAAAGAAAATATTTGATTTCTTAGGCTTTATGGAAGCGATAGGAATGGCAATAGGGGTTTGGAATGGAGACTGCACGCACCAGTCAACAGGGTGTGTCCTCAATAAGTAGTGGGTACAGGATTTACTGAGATGCTATCTCCAACTCCACTTCAGGAAAGCCTGCTGCAGAGTTCAGATGCTCTGACAGAGTCCAGATGCTCTGTTTGAGTCGCGGGCCCTTTGTCTCAGACGGGCGAGTCCGGGGGATTCTGGGAAGTGGAGTCCAGACGCTCTGTGGAGGCTCGAGCACTTCCGGTCCCCAACTGTGACGTCGCTATTTCACTTACCATAGTAGTTTGAGTTATTTCCATATCTTGCGAGTCCTTCCGAGCGAGTCTCCTTTGCTCGGGCCTCGCAACCACCCAATGATCGATTCAGGAGAAAAGAAGCCTGGGCGGATTGCAGAGGTTTGGAGGGGCGAGGGCGGGGATTGCCGCTCCGGTCCGCTGAGCTTTATGGCCTCAGGGGTCTGTGCTAGCGTCTCAGGGAGTGGGATTGGCGCGACCCTGTGTGCCCTGCTTTGACCTCGCTCAGTCCGCCTCCCTCCTTCCTACATCTGCGGCCTCTTTCAGTGTGGCGTGGAGTGTCACTTAATGTCCTTTTATCTTCCATTGCTGTTTTTTTTGTTGTTGTTCTTGTTTGTTTGTTTTGTAATGCGACTTTTCAGACCCTCCTAGTAGAACCGTTTTGGGACCTGAAAGAGGTAACACAAATGAGAGCCTTAAAAGCAGTCCCTGTCCCTCGTTGTCTGATGGTCTATTGTTAATTTCCCACGAAGCCTGTCAGGTCCCCGGATGGGGTCAGAGCTCCCCCTGCCGGGGCCCCGACCCTTCTCCCTGATCCCTACAGGACGCTGGACGATCCCTGACGCCTTCTGACTTCTTTTTAGGAAAGCAAGGGGAGCATTTAACTTTTATAGGGGACCGCAGAACGGTCAGGGTGTTTCACAGCTTTGTTTTCCCCGAGCCCGACCTTTCTAAAAGAGCAGCAGGAAGGGGACTTCTTGGCTACTGAGGGCAAACCTCTACGTGAGTGATCTTTGGCTTTTTTCTTTGACAGAGATGCTTACCTCAACCAAGAGGGTGTAGGATTTGTCCCTCGGGCATGGGTGTCGATAATAATTAAGCCTTAATTGGTAACTTTATTCCAAGTACTTTATACCCCAAAATACATGATCTCCACAGTGGCACTGTGGAGAGGTACAGCCTTTTTAATTTTAAAGATAGGCATGAGACACAGGTGGAGCAGGGGTTGAAACCTAGGCAGTCCAGGTCAGCCTGAGTTGATCATCTCTTGAATGCATTCTCACTGAGGCAGAGAAACTAGCTAGGAACAGGTGGAGAACATACGTTAGGACTTGACTGAAGGCACCTTGAGGCAAGGCTTAGGGGCTTGGACTTCTGTAGGAGTTTTTGTTTGTTTTTGGCTTTTTTTTTTTTTTTTTTTTTGAGAGGGAATCTTGCTGTCCCCTAGGCTGAAGTGCAGTGGCGTGATCTTGGCTCATTGCAACCTCCGTCTCCCAGGTTGAGCGATTCTCCTGCCTTAGCCTCCCAAGTAGCTGGGATTACACGCGCCCGCCACCACGCCCAGCTAATTTTTTTTGTATTTTTAGTAGAGATGGAGTTTTACCATGTTGGCCAGGCTGGTCTCGAACTCCTGACCTCAGGTGATCCACCCGCCTTGGCCTCCCGAAGTGCTAGAATTTCATTCACTTTTTAACTAATATTTCATATTGTTGTGGAGCCATTTTATTATGGAGCATTCAGAAACTACAGAAATTGGAATAGAAAAAAATTATTAAGTCCCCTTGAATCCAGGATATAAAGACAGTAAATGTTATGTTTTGAATGCATTTCTTTGTAGCCTTTCTTTTTGATCAAAATTATTATTTATATTTTATTTGTAAACATTCTAACAAAATTCTAATATTATAAATGTGTTCCCCTTGTCTGTTTAACTATGGAAACTTCCAGACACCACCAAGAGAGAATTCACTAGTGAGCTTTCAAGTTGTGTCATGGTCATTCTTATTAATCTCATTGTTATTATTCCTATGATTGTTTCCTGATATTTCAAAACATTTGATATTATTTTAGAGCTATAGAAAAGTTGCCAAACAGTATAAGAAATTCTCATGTACTCTTCTTTTGGGGGGGGTGTGATGGAGTTTTGCTCATGTACTCTTTAGCCAAATTTGCCAAGTGTTTACATTTTTCTTGTTTGCTTTGTTCATGTCCATCAGCCAAATACCACCAGGAACATACTTGCAACTAGAGACAGCTGATTGTAACTTTCTGCAGCAAGGAAGCCCACATACTTGGGTAATCGTGGGATGTCTTGTTAAGAGGCATTTAAGAAGGGCTGGTGTAGCATTTCATATAACATGCTAGATGATAGTAGATATTATATTAAATAATATTGTTATCTGTAATTTATCAGATCTGTTAAAAGACTACTAATACTATAGCGTTATTTTTTACATAGTATTGGATAGCATATTATCTAACACCATGTAATCTAATCTGCAGTTCCATATTTAAATTTGTTCAGTTTTTCATTTGAACTTTTTATAACTGCCCCCTTCCCCACTCTCCATCTCTATCCCCAAAGTTCAATTTTGTGTATCATCTTTAGCTGTCACATTTCCATAGTTGTCTTTAGTCTGGAAGGATTCCACATCCTTTGTCTGTTATGTGCATTGTTGTTTGAAGAGTATAAGCAAGTTGTTTGGGAGAAAGACATTCATTTTTAGCTTGTCTGATATATTTCACCTTTAGATTCTCCATTATTGGTGAAGATACCACAAAAGTGTTAAGGTATCCTTTTCAATGGAACATAACAGGGTCAAATGATATTCGTTTGTCCCTTCTTTGACTTTTCAACTGTGTTGGCTTAGACAAGATCATGTCTTTCAGATTTGTCCACTGTAACGTTACTTTTTAAAAAATTATTATAAAGTTTCTCATAGGGAAATATATTATTAGTGGACAGTCTGCTGTAAATAGGAGTTTCCATTTCTCCTTCATTGATTCATTCATTTGTTGAACTATAAATATTCTATCAATATGGACTCAGAATCCAACCTTATTTATTTTAATGATATATAGATTACAATTCTTTTTTCTAACTCCAGTGTATTTTACATATCATAGCATTCACCCATTTCAGGTGTACAATTCAGTGACCTTTAGGAACTTTGTGGAGTAACTATCATCGTAGTTCAGTTTAGATCTTTTACATCCCCCAGTTGGACTCTTCATGCTCATTTAATTTAAACTTCATTCTCACCTCAAATCTGCCTCAACCACTAATCTACTTTCTCCATATATACATTTGCCTATTCTGGACATTTCATCTGAATGGAATCATAGAATCCATGACTGACTTCTTTCACTTAACATAATGTTTCCAAGCTTCATGTATGTTGTAACATGAGTCAGTATTTCATTCCTTTACATTCTAAATAAGATTTTGTTGTATGGATATGCCAAGATTTCTCTATTTACCCATACAAGGGCCTTTTTGTTGTGTGCAATTTTGGGTTAGTATGAATAATGCTGCTGTAAGCATTCATGTGCTAATTCACATCCATATTGTTGGGCAGCATCCCTGGCCACCCTTTCATGTCTCTCTCTCTGCCTTCCATGGCATGTTCCAGGCACAATTCTTTCTGCTCGAACTGCGTAACTGAGGACTCTGCAAATTCCCTGAAGTAGGCGGGAAAATGATCACATGCGACGTGAGTATGGCGTGCCTCTCTTGCTGTTCAAATTTCATCTCACTACTCATACTGTCATGTGTTTTTCTCAGTCTTGGAAAGACTCAAGGAGAACAACAGGCATTTGAGGATCTCTTCTGTGCCAGGTGCTTCCTTCTTTTCTTTTTTTTTTTTTTTTTGGAGATGGAGTTTCGCTCTTGTGGCCCAGGCTGGAGTGCAATGGCGTGATCTCGGCTCACCGCAACCTCCGCCTCCCAGGTTCAAGCCTCAAGTCGCTGGGATTATAGGCATGCACCACCATGGCCGGCTAATTTTGTATTTTTAGTGGAGACGGGGTTTCTCCATGTTGGTCAGCCTGGTCTAAACTCCCGACCCGAGGTGATCTGCCCACCTCGGCCTCCCAAAGTGCTGGGATTACAGGTGTGAGCCACCAGCCCAGCCACTTCCTTTTTCTCTTTCGTTATCATCAGTGGGACACCTCTCATCCAAGTAGTCAAATGAGTGTGGTGCAGCAAAGCACCAGCCCACTGTGGCTTTGTTTGTTTAGGTTGTGTGATTGTGCTGCCATGTACCAGTTACCATAGGGCACCTCCAGCTTGCTCTCATGTGGCAGGTGCCAGGTCCTCACTTGGTAAGCCAGGGCTTGGGTTCTGTTGGCGGACACTGTGATGTGACCAATGCTGGTGTGGTTTACCATAGTCAAGACCAGAGAGTCACTGTGGTTGGTGACAGAACAAATCCAAAGCAGATCAGGTGACCTGAAGTGGCCACAGCTTGGGAGAACCTGAGTGTGCTGTGCTCTGCCACCACATCCTTGTGGAAACAACAGATTGACAGATGTTGGATAGGCGGAGGGCTGAGGTGGTGCAGCGACCCAGTCTGTCTGTCCCTGCCCTGAGGCTACTACCACTGCAGACATCCATTCCCCTGGTTGCTTGGCCCAGACCTTCGTGCCTCAGTTGTTCAGTCAGGAAGGGAGCCCATGTCCTGTACAAAAAGACATGCCTGCTAGTGACAGCCACCCAAATGGAAAGCTCAGTAATCTTCAGCACCATTAGAGGGACCCTAACACCCTGGTGTTCCATGGTCTCATCCTTCAACCCTCTGAGATCCCACAGAAGTCTGGGATTTCCAGGGAAGCATTGCCTCCAGATGAGAGTCAGGGAGAGCTTTGTCTGGTACTGTGGTGACCTGAATCGCGAAGCATACCAGAATGTGTACTCTAAAAGGAAAAAGAATGGATGAGAACACTGAGATTGGGGTCTCAGAGGCACAGCCTAATCAGGCTACTGCCATGTCTGCCTCCACCTCCGCTTCCACCAAGCTCAGTATTTCTAAGCACACGTGGCAGTGAGTTGTTTCCTTGGGACTGGTGTGCAGAGTGTAGTGTCCATGTTAACCTAGTCAGACAGGAGTACTGTCCTACTAGCAGGCCATGGGAATGTCTGTCCCTTCTTCAGTGATTTTATTTTATTTTATTTTTATTTATTTTTTTGAGATGGAGTCTCGCTCTGTCGCCCAGGCTGGAGTGCAGTGGCATGATCTCATCTCACTGCAAGCTCCGCCTCCTGGGTTCACGCCATTCTCCTGCCTCAGCCTCCCAAGTAGCTGGACTACAGGTGCCCGCCACTACGCCCGGCTAATTTTTTGTATTTTTAGTGGAGATGGAGTTTCACCGTGTTAGCCAGGATGGTCTCGATCTCCTGACCTCGTAATCTGCCCGTCTCGGCCTCCCAAAGTGCTGGGATTACAGGCGTGAGCTAACCATGCCCGGCCTTTTAGTGATTTTACGAGTCACCTGTTCTATGGTTCAGTAGCTCCATTGGCCTGCAGGTGACAGGGTGCATGCCAAGTTCATCATATTTCATGAGAGAGCGCCCATTGTTTTGCATGGTCAATGAAGGATATTCCTTGGTCAGAGTGAAATTCCATGAGGTGTTCAAAAACACAATATCAGTTCTTCTCAAGGACAGCTGTGGTAGTCCCAGTGTTCATGAGTGACATATATTTATCCCTCCTAGGCAGCAAGCTATTGCCATGTTTTTTGTCCACACACAGTGTACCCAGTTAGTAGCCATACTCCTGACCAGATGGCTGGACTGCTGACAACAGCCCAGAGTTCATGAAAATGTAGCAAGATATGGTAGTAGCAGTTGCCTGCATTGCAGTCACCACTGCATGTAGTTTGGTCCATCAGGCAAAAGGGCCATGTTCAGTCTCAGCCTTAAGATAGCCATTCACTGGCCAGATGCTGGTCACAGCCCAGTGGAGCCTGTCTCCTTGTTGTTTCCCAGAGCTGTCTGTAAACCATACTGTACCATCAGTAGGCACATCTGAATCTGGGGCCCCAGGTAGCCCCAGGAGGTGCCAGAACCCCCCTTATGGGTCATTTGGTCTCTGCTGTTAAGCTAGCCATTTGTTCATACAGCCTCCTGGGTCTGATCTTAAATGTACCATTTCCCTTTTTTTTTTTTTTTTTCTGAGAAGGAGTCTCGTTCTGTTGCCCAGGCTGGAGTGCAGTGGTGTGATCTTGGCTCACTGCAACCTCCGCCTCTTGGGTTCAAGCGATTCTCTTGCCTCAGCCTCCCCAGTAGCTGGGATTACAGGCGCCCACCACCACACCTGGCTGATTTTTGTATTTTCACTAGAGATGGGGTTTCACCATGTTGGCCAGGATGGTCTTGAACTCCTGACCTGAGGTGATTGTCCGCCTTGGCCTCCCAAAGTGCTGGAATTACAGGAGTGAGCCACCGCACCCAGCCGAATGTACCATTTGCCTATGATAGTAGAGCTTTACCACTTATCAAGTGGAGCCTGCCCAACTTTATGTGTAGGGTGAATAAGGGCCCAGGTGAGAATGGGCAGTTTATGTCACATGTGTACTCCAGCGATAAGATGCACTGTCCCCATCAGTGCCCAATAGCAAGCAAAGAATTGCCATTTATACAAGCATCCCTTGTGGCTGCCTTAGGCAATATATCCAAAATTTCAGAGACTGGTGCACCTCAGTGTCAACGTTTTGTTTTCACAGACTCTAGTCAGTACACATGCAGGTTATGGACCTTGTACCTTCATTGGACTGGCATGCTCTGAAGGTGTAAAGGCATGTCTGGGCCTTGGCTGGTTGAATGGCTTCCAAGGCCTGCTACTACAAAGGGTCCCATTCAAAGTTGATGGCTTTGCCACTCAGTGTCTATGGGGCTAAATGAACACCAAGTGGGCTGTGTGCTTTCTGCAGTACCCAAAGGCCTATCGGCTGATGAGTCTCCGTTCCATTAGCGGGTGCTGACACAGTTAAGACTTTTTGCTTGCCTGTATCTGGGATATTTGTTTGGCTTCCCATCCATGTGACACTGGCATTCAGCCTTCCATAGTCAGCTGTTCCTCTCCATGCCCTGGAGGTCTGTCTGACCAGCTAAAAAACTGGGCTGTTACATTTTGACCCGGTCGGTGTAACATTTTTCTCTGTGGCAAGTAATTCCTGAATTAATGAAGTATGTCTTGTTCTCCACTAAGCATGCAGCAGTGCTTTTGCTGAACCCACCAGGGCTTGGGTGGCTTAGGTGGTAGGCAGGAGTGGATATGCCCCACTGTTATGGTTCAAAAATTACATGCAAGGACACATGTCCCCTGAGGCAGCGGTGATGTTCTGTGTCTGAATAGCCCAAATGCCACCGCTTCTAATACACTCAGCAGTGGGAACCACAATCACTGACACCTGAAGTAGCCCAAAGGATTCACCCCCAAACATAAGCACCACAAGTAGACAGGCATCATGAGTCACTGAGTTCTTCCTAAAAGCTTTGATGTCATTAGTTTCATTTTTCCCCTAAGAAATATTAATATTTGAATTCCTCCCTCTCTTTTTCCCTCTTTTTTTTTTTTTTTTTTTTTGAGGCAGAGTTTCACTCTTGTTACCCAGGCTGGAGTGCAGTGGCGCGATCTCAGCTCACTGCAACCTCCGCCTCCCGAGTTCAAGCGATTCTGCTGCCTCAGCCTCCCGAGTAGCTGGGATTATAGGCATGTGTGACCATACCAGGTTAATTTTGTATTTTTAGTAGAGATGGGGTTTCTCCATGTTGATCAGGCTCGTCTCAAACTCCCAACCTCAGGTGATCCGCCTGCCTCAGCCTCCCAAAGTGCCAGGATTACAGGCATGAGCCACCGCACCCGGCCTTCCCTCTTATCTTGATAGGAATGGTGAAGACCCAGAGACCAGGCTCCATCCCTAATTGTGCTGTTCTTTTTGGGATAGAAAAATCTGTCTTCCCTCACCAACAATCTGGGATAGCCAAAATAGCATGTCCTTATGATATTGCCTATACCTGTCCTGCAGATCGTGAGTCTGTCTTTCTCGAAGGCCCACATCATGCTTACTGGCTTCCTTCTTCTTAGCTGCCTCAGAGACTTTCTGATAACCCACTTCACCCACTTCCAGAGCCCTCTGGCCCCAGGAATATGCGATTACTTAAAAGCCCCACAGTCAGTATATTACACGCCATGCTCCCCTGTTTTCATTTGCCATCCTCTCTTTCTGAATCCATGCAGCCAGCTCACATCTATAGAGGGGTGACCTGTGTCCCACTTATCACTCTGTTTTTTCCCATAAATCATGCAGCTTCTTTCCAGCTCCTGTGCCCCCAAGCTGCCATTACTGCCCTGGACCACAAGCTGGGGGGCATTATGCTCCCCCTTTGCTAATGCATGGTTCTGTTGGACCAGACCCTGCTGTGCCAATTCTGTGGAGCAGGTTCACGGGTTACCAATGTACATGAGTTCAGTAGAAGAGTACACTCAATACATGACTAATTACATAAAGCAGATTTATTGCTTACAGGTAGGCAGCAAGGGAGAACAAAAGCCTGCAGTTCCCTGTGAGCCAGTCTCCCAAGGCTCAAGAAAGCTGCCTGGAGTGGGTAGAGTCTGAATTGCAAGCGCCCCATTTGCAGCTCAGCCGAGGCACCCCAAGAGGCAACGTGTCCTGGATTATGTGCCTCAGGGGCAATATAGCTTACTGGGAAGTTCCTCCCTCACTTGAGATGTTATCTTCCCTAGGAAGGACACGTACATTGCATTTGTAGCACATTCTATGGTTATTATTGAGAGCTATGAGCAAGAAGGTGGGCAGAGTCAATCTAAGGTAATACTGAAAATTGCCCAGTTACCTAAAACTTATTTGTTGGGCAAATAGTAAAGAAATGTGATCGCATCCGGGGTTAAAATATGAGAGAGAACAATGAATGTTATCAAACCAGGTTGGGACTGAATTACTAAATGTTGCTGGAGCAACAGGCAAGATTCATTGAAACTTATATATATATATATATATGAAGCCCAGGATGCAGCATTTAGAGTTTTAGACGGTTACTTATAAGTAGACTCAATGAGCGCACAAAGTAAAAATATAGGACCTCATTTTCTTTCTATTCTTTTTTGTCTGTTTGTTTTTGAGACAGAGTTTCGCTCTTGTTGCCCAGGCTGGAGTGCAGTGGTACAATCTTGGCTCACTGCACCCTCTGCCTCCCAGTTTCAAGTGATTCTCCTGCCTCAGCCTCATTTTCATCATTGCATTTCTGGTGGAGCTCAGGAAAATCAGTCATTGTCAGGACACAAACAGAATAAGTTGTAAATCTGTAAGCTGACCTGTGTCTCAAGATCCAAAACAACTTTACACTTGTCCCTTGTGCCAGTGCAATGCTGCTGTCTACCAATAGTCCTTGGCCATAAGATCGAGGTGACATCTGCTTGATGTTGTAGGAGGCAGTGACCTTCAAGGACGTGGCTGTGGTCTTCACTGAGGAGGAGCTGGAGCTGCTGGACCCTGCCCAGAGGAAGCTGTATCAAGATGTGATGCTGGAGAACTTCAGGAACCTGCTCTCAGTGGGTGAGGACAGGTGCCCTCTGTAATGGAATGTCAGACCCCAGGAATGGTTTTGTATCCTAGGGTTTTCAAGTTTGAGTGTGCAGTGAGAACCTACATTTCCAGTAAATTTTGCCTAACTATTAGGTTGGTGCAAAAGTAATTGTGGTTTTTGTCATTGGAAGTAAAGGTACACCGCAATTACGTTTGCACCAACATGATATTACCTTGAACGTGTTGGGATTAAGCATGTGACTTTGCCTGTTCACAGGGCATCAACCATTCCATGGAGATACTTTCCACTTCCTAAGGGAAGAAAAGTTTTGGGTGATGGAGACAACAAGCCAAAGAGAAGGGACTCCTGGTAAGAACCAAGCAGTTGTGTGTCCCTGCATGTTATTCCTGTCTGTTTTAGTTCTGTCCATGCCCATTTCCAGCATTTTGGGGTAAATGGCCGAACCTGTTTCCTGGATTATTACAGCCTCCTCCTGCTGATGCCCCTGCTCCAACCCTTCCCACCGTGCCATCTGTTCTCACGGTAGCGAAAGTGATCCTTAGGAAATGAAAGTCACATTGCCATTACTCAGCTCAAAAGCCTTTCTGGCTTCTTGTTTTTATTAGTGTTACAACCTCTTTAAGTGGCTTTTGTAGACCCTGTGATCTGCTCTTCATCCCACACTGCGTGACTGCATCTCCTGTCCTTTCCCACTTGCTCCATCTTTTCCAGGCACATTGTCCTCCCTGCTGTTTCTCTATCCTGCCAAGGACGTCGTATTGCCTGTTGTGGCCAGTGACGTAAAACTCAGCAGATTGAACAAGAAACACTTATCTTTCTCTTCTGTAGGCCTGAAGTCTGACACATCTCACTGGGCAAAAATCAAGCTGTCTTAGGGCTTTGTTCCTTTCTGGATGTTCATGGGGAGAAGACTTCATTTTGGTTTACCAGTCTCTAGGCACTGTCTACACTCCTTGACTCTTATTTCCTTTCCTCCATCTTCAAAGGCAACTACATTGCATCCCTGACCATTCTACTATAGTCATGCTCCCTCTGCCACTCTTCTTATGCCTTCCTCTTTCACCTTTCAGGCCCCTTGTGATAGTATTCATCAATCCTGCATGATTCAGGATGACCCTTCCACTTTCTGCTTAGCTGGCTAGTGACCTCAATGACATCTTAATCTCCCTTGCTGTGGAACATAACATGTTCATAGGTTCTGAGGATCGGATGTAGACATCTTTCAGGAATGATTATTTTCTCTACCACAAAAGATTCTGCCTCCAAACCCTCACTTGCTCTTCTCTCTGATTGGAATACACTGTCCCCACAAAACTTACTGATCCCTCTTTTAGTTTATGCAGCTCTCTGCTCAGTTTTAATATCATAGGAGAGGTCGTCTCCAAGCACCTTATTGAAAATACTATCCTATCTTTACTCTTCTTGGCCTGCATGTGTTGCGTCTCATGTATTTTTGTCTACAGATAGATCACCTCTCCCCTTTACAATGTAGTCTCCTGAAGGTATTTATCTGTTTCTTTATGACTGCGTCTTCAGCACCTAGAATACTCCTGGTACATGGCAGGTATCTGTAAATATTTGGTATTCTTGTGAATGAATTAATGGATGAGAGGCCTTGACTGTCTGTAAGAATCATGGAGATAGCTAATAAGTGACAGATATACCAGAGTGAATGTTATATAGTCATGCCTTGGTAACCATGGGGTTTTATTCCAGGGCCCCCTTGTGGATACCAAAAGCCAAGGATGCTCAAGTCCCTTCTACATGTAAAGTATTTGTGTATACCCTACGCACATCCTCTTATATACTTTAAGTCATGTCTAGATTAGGTATAACACCAAATGCAACGCCTACCCATTGCTTTATTCACATGGATTCAATGTATAGGACTCAATGTGAGAGAAATTCACGTTTTGCTGTGTGGAACTCTGTGGAATTTTTTTTTTCCAAATACTTCTGATGCACTGCTGGTTGAATCCATGTATGCTGAACCAGCAGATATGGAGGCTGACTGTATGTTGCAGGACAGTTTTTTTTTTTTTTTTTTGTCTGTGTATGGCTGCTTGTTCAATTTTGACTTTCTTAGATTCTCTTGACATGGTTGGTTTTCTGTGCGTTCTGTTGACCCACATCCCGTGGAAACTTTCAAGCATTGTTTTCATGACCACACTGAGAAATATGCCTTCCATGGGGCTTACCCTGGAACTTTCCTTAAGGACTGTGTTTATGTCTGTGAGAAATCCTTTATATCTGTGAACTGAATGTTGCTTATATTTCTGTATGTTTTTCTTTAAAAAATGTGGTGTCTATTTCTGTATCTTTATACAAATTTAATTTTACAGAAATTTTTATTTATATTTACAGAGGAATATAAATTTTACAGAAATTTTTATTTATATTTACAGAGATAGAGTGTTGTATTTTCATCTGGTGAACTTTATGACCTGAAAGGAATTGGGAAACTGCTCTCAAAATAGAAACCTCCCAAAGGATACTCTCCTTTCTCTTTAGAGACTGCTTATTTATAAGTGACAGCATATTAAATATATCCATGTACTACTGTGTGCTGACAGGTACATACTTACCAATTAATATTTTCCAAGATTCTTTCCATTGGAAAAATCTGGAAGTTATCTTTCCGTTGGAAAAATTTACCTAATTCAGGACTTGGTAGTATCCTGACAAAGTTCTAAACATTTTGTGAGCATGAGCCATAGTAAGAAACACACCTTTCAATGTAACCCAGACAAACATTTTTCATGTGTGTAGATGTGTGTGAGTGGCTTTAGTAAGCAATTCATGTAATGACATTTTTCCTGCTTGTCATAATGCTGCAATAATTTTCATTCTAGTTCTTTTTTTGTAAATGTTTATTGTGGGTTTTAACTTTATTTCAGCTCATTGAGGCATAGTCTTGAGTATAAAAAGTTATAAAACCTGTTTACATCATAGGCTTTCTTTTCATTCCACGTGATTCTTAACAACTTTGGTTGTCTGCTCAGGAGCATCCCCCTTTGTGAACCTCTGGAAGGACAGCCTTTCAGATTCCCCTCAGAACTACAGTTGTCTGTCCCTGTACTCTTTCATATAACCAAGTTACTGTCCATATCAAAACAGAAAAATAAGATTAAGTGTTTTTATACATGTGTAAAATTATTGTGGGGGAATACTTTGAATGTATAGATTAAACACTCTGAGGTGTTTGGTGTTTAGCATTGTGAACAGTTCAACCAACTGTGAAGTTTAGTGGGACATTTTACAGAGGACTGCTCTCACTTCACATCAAGTGAACATTCGGCAGCTTTTCAAAACTATCTTCATGTTTAGTAATTTGCTAGAAAGACTCTTAGAATTCACTGAATGCTTTTATCCTCACAGTTACTGATTCTTACAGGGAAAACATGCATATTATAGTTAACCAAGATGAGAAACCAAATAAGACAGAGTCCAGGGAAGTACCAAATCCTTATTTTCTATTGTATTCTCCCAGTAGAGTGGAGTATGTTACATTGCCAGGATTAGCATGTGACTTAGACACAGATAACTCCCAATCAGGGAAACTTACCTGAGTGCTGGGATCCAGAGTAATTATTGGGGCTCCATTACATAGCCATAATTGGTTGGTTGATTCCCATGTGGTTATTTAGTCTCCTGGTTCACTGATTCCCTGTGAGGTAAAGCCCCTCCATAAATCACACTGATGTTCTTTCTGATGTGAGGAGTACCACCCGCCATGCGCCAAAGGAGTGGCCAGTCACAACCCTAAATAATATTGTTTCACTATCCAGAGTTACCCAGGTTTTACCTTCAAGCAAAGAGACTCTCCTCAGGCATGACACTGCAAGATCCTAGAGATTACCTCTCAGATGCTGACAACGTCCTGGCCTCTTTCAAGTTAGGTTAACTTCTTTGTAAGGATGTATGACAGACAAATATATAAACGATGTATTCTGTTATTGCTTCTCCTTAAAGTTCCTTTGGATTCATATTTCACTACGTATGTAATATTTTAGCTTTATGATTTACCACACAACATTTTAGACTCACTAAAAAATTCACTAGAAATAGCAATAAGTGAAGTGTATATATTAATTTTTTTAAACAAGTATTTTATTTCTATCCAGAATTTTACATATGAGACATGGTGTGGTTCTAAATTGGTCTAATGCAAACCAGAAACCAGGGTGCGTTTGGAAAACAGAAAATGAATGTTCATTAAAGTTAAATCCCACATCCTAAGTGTGAAGTCTTGAAAACACTGAACAAAGACTTTACTTGTCCACATGTCTCGTTTGGTGTTTTTTGTTTGTTTGTTTCTGTTTTTTGTTTTTGTTTTTTGGTTGTTTTTTTTGGGGCAGAGTCTCACTCTGTTGCCCAGGCTGGAGTGCAATGGCCTGATCTTGGCTCACTGCAACCTCTGCCTCCCAGGTTTAAGCAATTCTCCTGCCTCAGCCTCCTGAGTAGCTGGGATTACAGGTGCATGCCACCATGCCTGGCTAATTTTTGTATTTTTAGTAGAGACGGGGCTTCAACATGTTGACCAGGATGGTCTCGAACTCCTCACCTCATGATCCACCTGCCTCGGCCTCCCAAAGTGCTGGAATTACAGGTGTGAGCCACCATGCCCGGCCTACTTGTCCACATGTCTTAATTCTGTGTCCTTATAGGCAAGATCCAAACTGAAATGGAGACTGTTCCAGAAGCAGGAACACATGAAGAATTTTCCTGCAAGCAAATTTGGGAACAAATTGCAAGTGACTTAACCAGGTCTCAAGATTCCACCATAAATAACTCTCACTTATTTGAACAAGATGATGGCTCCTCCCAGATTGAGGAAAGACTATCTACAGTTCACACAAGAGAAAAACCTTCCCAGGGTGGAAAGTGTAAACAGTCCTTCAATAATGTTTCCATCTTTAATCTTCCTCAGCAGTTATGTTCAGGAGAGAAGTCTCATACCTGTGATGAGTGTGGAAAAAGCTTCTGTTACATCTCAGCCCTTCATATTCATCAGAGAGTCCACATGGGAGTGAAATGCTATAAGTGTGATGTGTGTGGCAAGGAATTTAGTCAGAGCTCACGTCTGCAAACTCATCAGAGAGTCCACACTGGAGAGAAACCATTCAAATGTGAGCAGTGTGGGAAAGGCTTCAGATGTAGATCAGCACTTAAAGTTCATTGCAAATTACACACGAGAGAGAAACCTTATAATTGTGAGAAATGTGGGAAGGCCTTCATGCACAATTTCCAGCTTCAGAAACATCAGAGAATTCATACCGGAGAGAAGCCATTCAAATGTGAAATATGTGGTAAGAGCTTCTGTCTTAGGTCAAGTCTTAATAGGCATT